CCGCACACCGTCACCTTCTCCGTCTGCATTTGGGATAAGCCAAGGTGGAACGTCACTGCTTGGGGACTTCATCCCCACACACACCCAGCAGCACCAGGACCCGGCGAGGGGCACCCACCTCCTTCAACGTCGTTTCTACTAACGTGGGGAGCTTGGCCAGCACCTCCTTTACCTGCACCAGGATCTGCCGGGACAAAGGGTCAGCAGAGGTGACAAGGAGGGGGACAAGTGGCACTTGGGGACAGGGCAGAGCCCCGCAGGGGACTGGGGGCAGTTTGAGAGAACTGGGGTACCTGGTAGGCACACTTTCTGTGGAGTTTCTTCTGCTCCTTGTACCACTGCATCAGCTCCTTCATGAAAGCCAACGTCACCTTGCCGCCATCCAGCTTGGGGCCGCTGTACTCATCCTCGATGGCTGCAAAACGAACCCCCCCGGTGGCCGATGACATGAGGGGACAGCGGGGACAAGTCCCCAAAGGGCCATCATGCCCCTGCTGTCCTTCCCCACAAGCTCACAGCCTCCGAGAAATCCCAGTAGCCTTCGGGGAATGCTGATGAAAGCCAACGTCACCTTGCCGCCATCCAGCTTGGGGCCGCTGTACTCATCCTCGATGGCTGCAAAACGAACCCCCCCGGTGGCCGATGACATGAGGGGACAGCGGGGACAAGTCCCCAAAGGGCCATCATGCCCCTGCTGTCCTTCCCCACAAGCTCACAGCCTCCGAGAAATCCCAGTAGCCTTCGGGGAATGCTGAGCCTTGGCTGGGGACCGAAGCTCTGCTGGGCACCCTCATGGGGACCCTGAGACCCTCACAGGGACACCAAGACCCTCACAGGACCCTCACAGGGACGCCAAGACCCTCACTAGGATGCCAAGACCCTCATGGGGCCCTCAAGGGGACCCTGAGATGTTCACAGGGATGCCAAGACCCTCACAGGGACACTCATGGTGATCCCAAGCCTCTGCGAGGGATCTTCATGGGTGCCCCGAGACCCTTGTGGGGATCCTGAGACCTTCCTGGGGACCCTTCTGGGTAACCCAAATCTCTGCTTGGCACTCTCATGAGGACCCCTGCGGTCCCCTAAGAGCTCCCGGAGACCCGCCCAGCTCCTCAAGGCTGTCGTTGGGACCCAGAGCCACTGCTGGGCCCCCACGGCCCCCGAGACCCTCCCAGGTGACCCTGAGCTTTTGTCAGAGACTCTCACAGGGACCCCAGGCCTCCACTGGGGGCTCTTAAAGGGGCCCCAACACCCTCACAGGGACCCCAAGCCTCTGCTAGGGACCCTCACAGACCCTCAAGACCCCCATGAGGACCCTGAGCCTTTGCTGGGGACACTCGTGGTTCCTCTAAGATTCTCACAGCCCTCACCCCCACCCCAAAGATTTTATGGAGACCCCCAAGACCCTCATGAGACCCCCAGAGCCCCCCAAAATCCTCTCAAGTGACCTCGAGCCTTTGCTGAAGACCCTCAAGGCTTCCCCGAGACCCTCACAGCGACCTCCAAGCCCCTAACAGGAACCCCAGGGGGACTCTGAACCTTTATGGGGACCCTCGCAGCCCACTCCTCCTTCCGCCCTGCCTGCGGAGAAAGGGGTGTCTTGATTTTGGGGGAGCACAAGGAGCAAGGCAGGGTCAGGGGGGCTCACTCATGCTCTCGATGTCGAGGGAGTCGACAACAGAACGCTTGTGCTCGTCGCTGGCGATCGCCCGCTCGAAGGCCTTCTGCTTGACGATCTTGTGACACTCCTGGTACTTCAGCTTGGCGTCCTTGTCATTGGGCCTCACCTTCACCACCTTGAGGGGGGACAACACACGTCAGGGGATGGGGACACCTCCCCCAGGCCCCTCGGCCACCCAGGCTCCAGCACCCCACTGCCCCGGGGTGCCCCTGAGAGGGGACAGAGACAGAGGAAACCTTGGGTGCAAGGACTGGGCTGATGCTGGGAGAGACAAGGGGGTCCCCAAATATCCCCACAGCTCTTGGGCATGTGCTAATATGAGTGAAAAGGGGGACAAGGGGGTCCCCAAGCGTCCCCACAGCTCCAGGGGATGTGCTGACCCTCAGGGTGGGGAGTGAGGGGGTCCCCAAGGATCTCTGCAGCTCTGGGAGACATCCTGACACTAGTCAGGGGAACATCGAGGAGTCCCCAAGCGTCCCCACAGCTCTAGGGAACCTGATGATGCTGGGGGGTGACAAGAGTGTCCCCAAGGGTCCCCTCCTCCAGCTCTAAGGGACATGCTGACATTGGGGAGCAGACAAGGGGGCCCCCAAGCCTGCCCCAATCTCTGCAGGGGGACATGCTGACACCAGGGCGGTGATGAGGGTGTCCCCAAGCCTTCCCCGATCTCAGGGGGGGACACGCTGACACCAGGGGGTCCCCAAGGCTCCCCTGAGCTCCAGGGGGACACACTGACACCAGAGGGGTGCCAAGGGGCACCCTGAGGCGCCCAGCCTCACCGTCTCGTAGTCACGGAGGGCGGCCTTGAACTTGCCCAGGGCCATGTTGCTGGCGGCGCGGCGGTAGTAGCCCTTGACGTACTTCTTGTCAAGCTCAACAGCGCGCGTGGCGTCGGCCAGGGCATAGCCGTAGCACTCGGTGCGCAGGTAGGCCAAGCTCCGGTTCCCATAGTAGATGGCATTGGTGGGGTTCAGCTCGATGGCGCTGCTGTAGTACTTCACCGCATTCTCAT